GCTTAACTTATTTGATATCAGATATTTTGTAGAAAATACTTTTTTTGTTGAATTTTTTTTAAAAAAAGGTTATTGATACAAGTCGCGTGCACTCGATGCTTTTTTTAACCTTATTTTAAATAAGGTAAGCTTTTTACGGATACAATATATATGCATGTACACAAGCCACATAATAGAACATAAGAATCCAAAATATGTAACATTTTTAAAACGCTAAATGTGTTTTTTAATGTGACTAAATAAAATAAAATAGTATATAATAAACTAATATAAAATAAACTTGAATAATATAAAAAATATATGTATTTACATTATTATATATGTAAAAGAACTTATGCGCAAAATCTTTCACTTTTGGCCTAAACGAACATTTTCTCTGTAATATAGATTCTTCTATATTTTATATTCTATATTTCGACCTTCTTTACTCCGTCCTAAATGGTATTCGTTCATCAATGATCAATTCTCCTTATCTTTTATAATTATCTTTTATAATGTCCTACAAACAGAGACAATAGAATTAGTGCTATACATGCTAATAATATAATCCACAAGGACAAAATAAAGATTGTACAACAGAAAGCATAGACTCTTACATAACGCATAAAGAAATACATGAATAAAAATCCTTCATTTCCATCATGGAACCTATTGATTATAACCTCTTCATAATATTTATTAAGTCAATATATACACAGGATGTATAAAAACCGGGATAAAATATCACAAAGCTAAGCATTTTAGAAGAAATGTTTCAAATGAAAATTGTAGCGTTTCAAAAGATCTATTTACTAATATTATGCGTTTAACCTTGAATGGCGTCGCCCAGGTCAGGATAAAATCACCTTGAATTTTTTAAATGGGAGCCCCTTTTTTTTATTGTATATTCTTGTAGCCCTTTTTCGATCCTTTTCAAAGCACTATAACTTTTTCTACTTTGAGTAAGCCGTTTCGAAGTTATTGAGCTTCTTATGATAACATGTCCAGTCAACCAAGGCAAGATCAAAAAAGTATCTAGCCAGTCAAGACAAAATCAAAGAAGTATCCAGCCAGCCAAGGCAAGATAAAAAAAGTGTCCAGCTAGCCAAGACAAGATCAAAGAAGTATCCAGCCAGCCAAGCAAAGATGATCATAAAGGAAAACTAGCAATTAAAAGCTTGATTAATGTATCAAATTGTTCATCATTCATTGTTTGACAATGCGCTAATCGATGATAAAAATCTGAAACAGCATCTTCTACAAAAACGTTTGAGAATAATGTTAATCTCTAAAGAAAAAGTAAAGTCTAACGAATAAGCCAGGAAACAAAAAGATTTATTCAATAAACAGAAATTTGTGTTAATTAGATAACAAAATCGATAATTCAATTAAAGAAAGAAAAACAATCATTTATCAATCAATAAAAACAATCATTTATCTTTTCCGTATGAAACAACACATATCATGTACAAGTAATTTGTTCTACTTCAAATCAAATTCATTGATTTGAAATGATTCGAAGGTGAATTTTAGTGCTGTTATAAATTTAGTACATTAGTATTACTTTAATATTACATGTGTATGAAATACAAGTCACGAAATTGCTCCAGCCGCTGACTGAACATATTATCATAAAAAGCTCGATAACTTCGCAACAGCTTATTCAAAGTGGAAAAAATTATAGTGCTTTAAAAAGGTTTGAAGGGCTACAAAAATATGTAATAAAAAATAGGGGGTCCTATTTAAAAAATTCTAGGTAACCTTGTTCTGACCTTGGCGACGCCACCCAAGGTCAAACTCATAATGTCAATAAATAGATCTTTTGAAACCCTATAATTCTTATTTGAAACATTATTTTCTAAAATGTTTAGTTTCAGTGATATTTCACCGTCCCAGTACTTTTTATTACACCCTGTACATATATATATATACAGGGTGTCCCATTTTAATGTCCCACCCTAAATAACTCTTCAGTATTAAAGTTTCAAGGAAAATGATCTCAATAAAAGTTGTGGGAATTTAAGTGAGCTACCTTATGATAACTTTGACTTTGATCTTGACCTCTATTTTCAAGATCATTTGAAGGTCAATTTGCATTTCTTAACGGGAACCCTTATTTTTTATTACCCTATTTTTTCTACTGGTTAATTTGAACAACTTTTGTCTAAAACATTTTTTTATTTGTCCAATGTTTTTTGAGATATTTGAGGAAAACTTGATAACTTTTTCAATATTTAACTTACGATATGTCGCTAATTACTTGTCGGAAGAAAAGTGGTACTAGACTTTCTTGCTTCATTTAGTCTCAAGAATATATTGTTACAATAGCGCCTTGACTTTTATTAACTTACTGAATTTTGGAAATTTCAAAATCATCAAGTTAACAAAAATCAGAGCGCTATTATAACAATATATTCTTGAGACAAAATAAAGCATGAAAGTCTAGTACCACTTTTTCTTCTGACAAATAATTAGCGAGATATCGTAAGTTAAATACTGAAAAAGTTATTAAGTTTTTCTCAAATGTCTCAAAAAATATTAGACAAATAAAAAAATGTTTCAGACAAAAGTTGTTCAAATTAACTAGTAGAAAAAAACAGTGTAATAAACAATAAGAGTTCCTATTTAAAAAACGCAAGTTAACCTCCAAATGACCTTGAAAAAATATTGAAAAATATTTTTAAAGAACATAATAAAAGTTATTCCCCCCCATCCTCTCGGGGTAGGGTGGGTGGTAACGTTCAAATCTCAAATGGGAACCCGACTCGAAGAGGGAACTGCTCGACGCGCCACTGTGTGGGTGTATGGCGAACTACGGCTTATAATAAGCCGTAGTTCGCCATACACCCACAGCCGTTACCACCCACCCTCCCCCGAGGGGATGGGGGGGAATAACTGTTATTATGTTTTTTGAAAATATTTTTAAAAATATTGAACAGGTATTTTTTTATTTCTCAATCCAATGATCATTTCTGGAGAATTGCGGAAAATATAATTTCTTGCGATTACAGCGCCATCTATCACGAATAAAAAAAAATTTCGGACAAAATTTACGTATTTTGTGGCGTAGAATCCGCAATAAAAAATGGGGGTTTCCATTTAAGATTTCAAAGTTGCCCCCAACCCCCACCCCCAGGGGATGGGGTGGAAGGTCGAGTTTGGTATCATTGGATGTCCCCCTTCGAGACTAACTTTGATTAACCACTTTTTTTATCCAATGCATAGTTCTCGAGATATTTCAATGTCCTCAGATAAATCGTGCACCCTGTATATAACACATCACTCAATAAGTTCGTAGAATGACATATAAATGGCGCTACTATTGACAAATCCATATGATTTTTAGGAAGTACTAACCTTCAAATGATACGTATCAAAATTTCATGACAATCGGAAGTTTAGTTCACAAGTTACAGTGGTTCGAAGTAGGTACCGCGTTTGCTCACAGTCAATCAAAAACAGCAACGCATCAATGATTCAGCGGGCTGTTTGGAGCTGTTTCAGCGCAATAAAAAAGATTTTTTGATGCGGTATGTGACAATGGATGAAACATGGATCTATCACTACACTCCAGAGTCAAATCGGCAGTCAGCTGAGTGGACAGCAACCGTTTTCTTCGTTAGAATCTGTCCAGGATTAGTGATTTAGATTGAGCATCATTATTTAGTGTTACAAGTATTTGTATGCTTCATCTAATATTTATTTTTGAGAAGAATGCAATAAAATTATCTACATACTTAATTTTCGTTCGGTAAATCTGTCTCCTCCTCTATTCCGTCATCGGTCCAAAAATCACGATTTCTGTTTCCTCGTATGCTCTGCGTGCGCGGACAACGTAACCTGCTCCGTATCCTTTCTTTTGCTGCCCGGAGAGCCTCTTTCATGTGACATTGAAAATGTGCCCGAGTCGGCTTCTCAAAGTAGCTGTTATACACGGCATCTGAAAAAGAAAGACAAAATGCATTATTAGTAATAATACAACAATTATGTGCATGCAAACGGCAATTAAAAGTATCGCACCATAAATGGCCTTAACAAGTCGCGCTTTATAAAAAGGCCGCTGTCCTTCATGGCCCCACCATGTAAAGGATGGCGTTAAAGAATCATGAAGACTTTCTTTTAGGCATAAATTTACTGCTTCCTTTGCATTGAAGCCACCGGTATCATGAAAATACTGCACCTAAAGAAAATTTTAAAAGGCAAAAATAAAAAAGTGTATAACTAGAATGAACACAAAATTTACAGTGATTCTTATCGACCATCCACTAAATAATATAGTTGCTCAAAATATTTTTCAAAAACCTGAATCAAAAAGTCCTATGCCACTTTTTTCCAAGATATTTAAAAGTAGTAATTATTTAATAAAGTTTAACTGATCAGCCTATCTAATAGTGCGCGTATGCGATCATTATATGTGTACGGCTCATGGACATATATCCGTGTAAAAAATAATGGCGCTAATTGACTATGCTCGACTTTAGAATTACTGCTGTATGAAGCAAATAAAAATAATATGGGTATTTTGACTCCATTTTTATTAAGGGTAATGCTGTATACTTTGTGGGCGATCGATAAAAAATAGCCTGTATACAATAAAAAGTTGTTTTTATTGTCACTTGCCGCATTAGAATACTCTTCGTCATCGATATCTTCGAATTTGTCCATGTCAGCCAACGTTGATATTAGAAAACTAGTAGGCCTACGCGATGCTGATTGTGATTTTTGTATGAATTTCATTATCTTTTCGAGTGTAGCATTCATCTTTCTGCAAAACGCGTAAAGAAAAATCAGAATATTATTAACACATCACTTATTAATATGAGCAGTATATGTTATAATTTAATTAATTAAAGCAGTATATGTTATAATTACTTTAACTCAGCTTCTGTACGACATAAACGTTCCTTTATTAACCTGCAAATATTTATCAACATTAACAACACAGACCAATGTTATTTTAAACATTATTATATAATTATTTTTTATTAGAAATATTTGTAAATATTAGTAAAAAGTACATATTAATTAGCATACCTATTGTCAGTCTGCTCAATGCTCTGCACGTTAATATCTGAGTTAATCTGATTCTGCGGCGGTTGTTCGTTCTGTGCATTAGGCTGCATGTTATATATTCTTCTCTTTTCCAACTCAATATAAATTTTGTTATTGTTACATTCTGCCTGTGGTATATCATATGCAGATAATACTGGTTGTGATACGCTTACGGTACGAATATTGGGAAACGTGCATGGATACGTTATATTACTTGTGTTTGGTTGTGTGTACATGTGCGGTATTACGGGCGTGTGTGGTTCAACGTATATGTGTGTCAAAGAATTGTCAAAATGTTCATGTTACATCCTAGAGGAGGAACGCAACCTTTTCGTTCGCGAGTAAGGCGAACCTCGTTCGTACACGCGTGTCAGTGGACGGGTCAGGGACCCGACGGGTCCCTTTACTCGGGCACCGACGTACAACGAGCGGTCCGTTTTTCGGTCAGGGACGCGAATCCTTTTACCGGGGATAGGACCATGAGTTGACTGTTGGAAGGATGGGGTGATTTTGAAATTAACTGATGGAAATAAATTAATACCAAATTTATTAAAATAAGAGTGACAACAGAAAGTTATGCGGCGCGGTTTATTACAATTTACTTGAATGATGTTGTGTGTATGTGTGTGTGTATGAGAAGTGAAAGAAGGAGGAAATAATAAAAAAAAAAGGAAGGAATATGAGTAAAGAGTTAGTAAGCAAAGAAAATGTAACTTACTGGTGATTCCTGAGATGCGAGAAATGAACAAGATATAACGGTTGATAAGCGGCTCCTGCTCTGTAGGTTGGGATGGGTTGTGCGACTCCCTTCCAATTGTCCAATTATGGCACAATAGCACTGATTCTAAATTTTTATTTTTGTCCCCAAAAAAAAATAAGACAGAGGACGTAAGAGTATGTGTAGTACCGAAACAAAACCGAAGACGAATTTGAGTCTAAGGACGCGTTTTTACAGGTCTGACTTTTGAATCTAGAATCTAAGTGAATGTGAATCTGCTCTTTTTCCTGTCTCTCAGAATAGAAGTAGTGTCGCGGAGGCGGATTACCACGGTTTTTATAGTGATAATCGGAGGCAGAAGCTATCAGGGTGAGTAGATCAGTAGTAGCTATCAGGGAGATGGCCTTTGAGGAAGGGGTGAATTGGTCTTAATGGGAAAAAGTCTCAGCCATTAGCGAAGTTAAAAGACATCGTGGGAGGAGACAGTTAGTTTTTGGACATATGAATATGGAAGGGCTAAAGAGTGGAGCGTGGGTGTCTCATAGTTTTAGGTGGATATGATATGATTGGCTGAATGAATTAGGCGCGACAAGCGTGGAGGTGGTGGATTCTTGAGATAGAGAAATGTACAAGTGGCCGGCTGGAAAAATCAAAATGCCGTAAATCAAAGACTGAGATCAGATTTTACGACTATCAGTGAAGTAAGCTTTGTTGGTTGACTGATAGGGCACATATGGTTTTGGATTGGGAAGATGTAAGTTTCAAGTTTTAGAGCAGGAATGCTCTGTGTTGCTTTGTTTTACTGAAGGTTTGTTAGCGCGGAGTTTTAAATTTTTATAACTAGGACGACGGACACACTTGGCGAACACTACCCAGATATAAACTTTAAACGAAGACGTAGATTTTTACAACAGGGCACTGTTTCCTGTTATGGAATTTTCCCGAATTGCCTTTCATTTGGCGCGACGGCTGTTCGCCAGATGGGTCTGTTTCCTAATTTATATTTATATATGTATATATTCCTATTATAGTTATATTAGGAGAATATAAATCCGCGAGAGGAAAAGACAATTTTGTTAGTTAAATCTGCAGGACGTAACATTCATTATTATTACTTTGTGCGTTACTTTCCAGAATCCTTCGAATATCATCTATGTTGTCATTAATGTTCGTATTAAGTATTTTTGCTGTTCCTATCTTTGTGCGTTTCGGAACTTCGTCCGACGATGTGGTTTCGTAGCGTGATGGTTTACCCACTATCCGTTTTGATCGTTCCATTTCTGTAAGCACAAATATATGAAACATTAAAATGCAGAATGTGTATGACAGATATATTCTATTGTACTCGTATGACAAATAATGAAGAAATTTAATACTCTTACCGTCCATTTCACGTTACATATTTTTCTATTTACAAATTCGCATATGCATTATCCGGTAAAATTGTACAGATATTGAAACAATGAATACGAGATATAGAAATGCAGAAAAGATAAAGAAGAAGATAAAACCAGAGAAATGACTAATCAAGCAGAAATATTCTAAGCCCATAAATACAAGACATCAAATAATCATGCACTTCTTATCGCATTCTTTCATAATAAATGCTAAAAAACATTACGTAGAACATATTATATTATTTCAGTATGTATTATCGCAGCAATAATGTACATCGTTGTTTCTGAATGGCTGTCTTCGTCACTCGCACTATCATCAATTAATGTATTGGGTGAATGCAAAAGTTCGTGCGGAGTTTCAATAGATGGAGTTATAAGCGTCGTAAAGTGTTGTCATTAATACTTCCATCTACATATTATATAACGTTGGAAAGGTGACGTCTTCAGCTGTTATTAAAAAAAAATCATTTGTTTTCATACAAACTGCTTCGAGAAATATCACTTTAAAAATGAGTATCGATAAGGTGCATTTACGGCATGTTATGCTTTACGAGTTTCGGAAGGGAATAAACGTTGCCGCAGCCGTAAAAAACATTCAGAATGTTTATCAGGATGAAGCACCAGCTAAACGAACTGTGGAAAAATGGTTTGCTAAATTTCGGCGCGGAGAATTTAACCTTGAAGACGAGCCACGCTCTGGTCGACCTTCTGACATTGATGACAATGTTTTGCGTACTTTAGTGCTCAATAATCCGCGAATTTCAACAGAAGAAGTTGCTACAGCACTAAACGTTGACCGATCAACCGCTTTTCGGCGTTTAAAAAAGATGGGGTTCGATTTGAAGCTCGATATATGGGTGCCCCATTTGCTGACCGAGAAGAACAAAATCAATCGAATTTCTGCAGCCGTTTCTTTACTCGGGCGGTTCAATAACGAGTCGTTTTTGGATCGACTAGTGACGGGCGATGAGAAATGGGTCCTCTACAACAATGTTCAGCGCAAACGGACATGGAAACAATCAGGTGAGCATGGTGACGCAATGCCAAAGGCCAGTTTGCACCCGATGAAGGTGATGCTCTTTGTTTGGTGGGATTGCAAGGACATAATCTATTTCGAGCTTCTCCCCGCTGGCGAAACGATTGATTCGGACAAGTACTGTCGCCAATTAACCAATCTGAATCGAGAAATAAAAGAGAAACGTCCGATTTTGTCAAATCGCAAGGGAGTCGTCTTTCATCACGACAACGCCAGACCACATGTTTCGAAAAAGACATTGCGCAAACTGAAGAGCCTGAAATAGGATGTCTTAACGCATCCACCGTATTCTCCTGATATCGCACCATCTGACTATCACTTGTTCCGGTCATTGCAAAATTATTTAAATGGAAAAAACTTTGACTCTTTGGAGGCCTTAAAAAACGGCGTCTCTTCGTTCTTCGAATCTGAACCGCGCAGTTTTTATGATCGAGGCATCCGTATGCTGCCAGAATGTTGGGAAAAGATTATAGAAAACGATGGAGAATATATCATTGATTGAATAAAGATTTTTGTTTGCCTAATCACTGTGTGACTTTTATTCACAAACTCCGCACGAACTTTTGCACTCACCCAATACAACCCCAAAAGGGGATTCTATAACATTTTGCGTAAACTTGGTCTACATTAACATTTATAAAATCACTGCTCAAGTTGCCGCACTTATAAATTTTAACAGCTGAAGATACTATTCCAATATCATAAAAATTATCTACTTCCAAAAATTTCCTTACTTGCAAGTAATGCGAGGAATGTGTACAATGATATTCGAAACAATACAGATTGATCCATCATATAAGATGTAGCAATTGTTTCGTACGTCTATACCTAACATTATTTTACCAAATTGTATTTTACGATAATGAGGACAATGATCACTATTATTAAGTGGCATGGAGACACGAATAGAAGAATCTATTTTCTGATTATCACTTGTTCCGTGCATCTGTACTTCCTACATTCTATTAAACATCTGTTGCAGAGGTAAACTTGGCTTCCTGCAAAATTTCCTAAAAATGGACATGTTGTTTTCAAATGGAAAAGCTGACAAGGAATCTAAACTTCCAAGACGTCTGACATCGTCAGTGAGATGGAGAAGACCGTGTATATTGTATGAATAGAAAGTAGCACCATAGAGAGAACCACAACGGACAAATTTTTGCAGCGCAAATTGTGCAAAATCAAGATATTTGTTCGATGGAGATTGTGATACTAAAATTCTTATAGCACAGTGTAACAATAGGAAATGCTTGTATAATTGTTCATCTAATACACCATAAGTAACAACAATACCTGTGTACAAAAGAATCTGACGAAACTCTGTAGCTTTATATTTGGAGCATGCATCCAGAGGTCTAGGGCGTCTTACGAAATCAGTAGGACAATATTGTCGAAGAATATTCAACCTAGTATTAATTACAGAAATTGATTTTGCACAGAGTTTTGTTCTGCGTATGTATTGGGTGAGTGCAAAAGTTCGTGCGGAGTTTGTGAGTAAAAGTCACACAGTGATTAGGCAAACAAAAATCTTTATTCAATCAATGATATATTCTCCATCGTTTTCTATAATCTTTTCCCAACGTTCTGGCAGCATACGGATGCCTCGATCATAAAAACTGCGCGGTTTAGATTCGAAGAACGAAGAGACGCCGTTTTTTAAGGCCTCCAAAGAGTCAAAGTTTTTTCCATTTAAATAATTTTGCAATGACCGGAACAAGTGATAGTCAGATAGTGCGATATCAGGAGAATACGGTGGATGCGTTAAGACATCCCATTTCAGGCTCTTCAGTTTGCGCAGCGTCTTTTTCGAAACGTGTGGTCTGGCGTTGTCGTGATGAAAGACGACTCCCTTGCGATTTGACAAAATCGGACGTTTCTCTTGGGAGCGTGGAGCGTCAGATAGCTCAGTGGTCTAGAGCAGTCGCCCGGCAAGCGAAAGACCCGGGTTCGATTCCCGGTCTAGCGACTACCGCGCTCTCGATATTTTTCTCTCCTCGGAACGAAAATGAGATGCAGGTCCCGAACACACGGCGTCCCGTCGCCACCTAGTACGCCCTCCTTCTTTCATGATTATTTCTCGATTCAGATTGGTTAATTGGCGACAGTACTTGTCCGAATCAATCGTTTCGCCAGCGGGGAGAAGCTCGAAATAGATTATGCCCTTGCAATCCCACCAAACAGAGAGCATCACCTTCATCGGGTGCAAACTGGCCTTTGGCATTGCGTCACCATGCTCACCTGAAATTGATTCTATGTACTTTCGTCTTAGATATAATATGTTTAGTGTCCAAGAATTTCATAGATATATACGTTCGTAAATTATGAAGTAGAATAATAAGAAAAAGATACTTAGTGAGAAATATAACAATTCAACACGGCATTGTAGGATTTATTGTTTATATAATTAGAAATTATGGAATGGATAATAGTGCATTTCATTTATGACAATGTTGTCAAAACTGTACCATCAAATTGGGTCTGTAATGATATCTGTATTGACTACCTTATAATATAAGTAAAATAATGCAAGCTATATCATCGTGTGTATCTCCAGTTATTAATGAATGGAATGTATGTAAAATACGGCAATTAGCTAATGGTCGTAAATATGGTAAGTTATACGACAATAAGTGTAGAAAACAAATATAATTTTTTAAATTAACGGATTAAATTTTGTTCTTACTAACATCGTATATACACACGCTTGTCCGCATGGAACTATTTTTCGTGTAGTTAACATATAAGAAATTTTATTTTTGTCATAAAATAAGATTGAAATAAACATATGTATTTTTAATGTCTTAGATAATTTCTTAAAAGCTAAAGTTATGTGCGCAAAAGCAGAATATACTTCTGATCTCAATTCAGATATGGAAGTGAAAATACAAGTAAAAAAAAAGCGATTTTTCGATTAAGAGAGTTCTGAAGAGAATATAACTGAAGTTGATTGCAATTCCGACTTTGCACATAGAACTTCTTCTACCAAAGAAATAAGTATTTTATCTTTAAGCTGTTTAAAATTATTGTTTTACATATTTAATTATATATGTACAGTATTGTGACATTATATTAAGATATATAATTCTAACTGATATTTTTAAGCACGCAAAGTAGACAATGAGATTTCGGAAACATCAAGCGATGACTGCGAACGTGACATATTGTCCAACGCAATATTACCATCTTCACCAGGTACAAATATGTATTTAATTCATATAGTAATTAGCATTTTGTTAACATTGCTATATATGTATTGTTTTAATTCTAACAATTACAAATTTAAACTTTTATAGGCGCTATGAAAATATCTGAACACGTTGTGCTATCAAAGAAAGAATCGAATATGATGCAAAAATATACTGGGGAAAAAGATCACGAATTGAATACGATGCAAAAACATACTAGGGAAAAAGATCACGAGTTACCGATGGTAATAACTAGCAAGTCTTCATATCAACCTATGAAATCACGTGATAACTTATATGGTAATATGCTTTACATGATGCATTATATTTCATTTACTATTACCTATGTTTATATGTATCGATTATGATCAATATTTGATTATATTAATATACATATCTGCAAATAATTTACGTTTATTAAAATATTTCATGTTTTAGATGAAAATTTCCAAAAACAGGTTTTACGCCTATTACAAATAATTAATTTACGACAGCAACAAATATCAGAGGATCTTGGCATCTCATTAATAAAAGCGAATTTTGAGAAGAATGAAGAAAATGTGCTTGATGAAAATAGTATATTTAAAAAATTTAATTTTCCGTTGCAAAATCAACAGGTTTTACAGGAGTTAGAAGAATTCCTAATCGAAGATAATAACTTCAAACAATTTGTACATATATTTACTTACTAGAAAATGTTTATTTATGATTTGAATTTATTAATATATTGTTATATTTTCGATCAAAGAGATTATTCAAATCGGAGGAGCATCATGTAAACATATGGTGAAACGCGTTCTGCCA